TAAATAAGACGTCAACATTTTCAAACATTCACAGACGTATCTATGCCCTGAGCTTCATATTTATGATACTCGTAGATACCAGGGTGGAACGTTTTTATCCGGGTGTATAAAAGACGTTCTCTCGATAAAAAAATTTCTAAGTTCAGTTAGGAAAGTTTTTGGTGTTCTGATGATCCTGGTTTCGTTTTGTTTAATGTTCAGACATTCATGGCTTCATCTGTATAGTGTCAGGCTTTCATAGTTTCATCTCTATAGTGTCATATGCTCATAGCTTCATCTGTATAGTACCAGACGTTCATAGCTTCACCTCTATGATGTCAGGTGTTCATAGCTTCATCTGTATAATGTCAGACGTTTATAGTTTCATCTGTATAGTGTCACGTTCATAGCTTCACCTCTATATGTCAGATGTTCATAGCTTTATCTGTATAGTGTCAGACGTTTATAGATTTATCTGTATAATGTCAGACGTTTATAGCTTCATCTGTATAGTGTCACGTTCATAGCTTAACCTCAATATGTCAGACTTTCATAGCTTCATCTCTTTAGTTTCATACGTTAATAGCTTCATCTGTATAGTGTCAGACGTTCATAACTTCACCTCTATAATGTCAGGCGTTCATAGCTTCATCTGTATTGTGTCAGACGTTCATAGCTTCACCTCTAAAATGTCAGGCGTTCATAGCTTCATCTGTATAGAGTCAGACGTTCATAGCGAGACTATTTCGCCTTGCAACTGCTACTAATTCTTGTATTGCTAGTTAATGCTTCGCTTGCAAAGTTATCCTTAGCAGTGACATTAATCATCGTATTTGCTATTTATTCTTGCAGTTGCTATTAATTTTTGTGCTGTCAGTCCTGTAGCGACCTTTAGGCCCAGTCGTCTTGTGTACTGCTCATTAACATACAGCACAGTGTATGCAATTTATTGTATTTAATAACACAGTATACTTAAGTACTAATGAGTCCATTAATACACTATACAATATGCATTGCAGTGTATTACTGTCTGTATTAGCTTAAATTCCGTGTACACAACATTAAAATATACACAATACATGGTACAATTATATTGTATTGTACCATAATACAATGTTGAAAATATTACACTGTTCAGTATATTGAAGAGTAAACTGTCTCCTTTCGTACACTGATTACATTTTGATTTATGAATGCGTATCATGTATATGATGTACGTACATTATGGAAAAGGTATGAGCATTGTACACAACAGGACAGTGTCCACAACCTTACAGTCTAGTGTACATCATAATATTTATTTCATTGTGAACAAAAAGGTAATAATTTACATCAGTAACTAAGTACATATTATTCATAGTACAGAAATAATTAATATTGTACATCAACTGTGATCCATTTGGTTCTGAAGAATACAAAATCTTACAGTGTACACAATATCAAAGTCTAAAAAAATAAAAGTACATAATGTGTGGAATTCTGGGTTAAGCTGTAAATAACAATGTACACTATTTTGAACATTACAGCAATTCAAGTACTATTACAACTGTTCAGACGCTAATGTACTCGAATATACAATATTATATACAGTACCTGTCTTTACAGTACAGTATTTCAATGTATATTATTAAAGTGAACACGGTACAAATACAGGTATTACAACAAGTGTACACAGCAATATATTGTACACTTCATCGCAATGAAATGATAAGTGTACATAAAGTTTTATCGTGCACAATATTGCAAAAGTGCACAACGTTACAATGTACATGAAAGACAAAATGTGTCGTGAAATTTGGTGAGAACATATGCTGAAGGGCTGCTTTTGGTGCGCTCTGCCTTGTGGTAGGGGGCTCTCATAATGTGTCGCGAGTTATATTTAATCTTCGGACAAAACCGCGAGACAACTTTTGTCTTTGATTGTACATAATTATTTCATACAGTACACAAGAATGCTAAGAATTAAACAGAACAGTGTACTCAAGATTACATGTACTCAAGGTTAATGAGATCAGGATTAATTTACTCAAAATTATTAGTGTACTTAAGATTTCGGTGTACTCGAGATTAAAGTACTCAATATTACAGTGTACTCAATATTATTATACCCAAGATTATAATTATGCTTAAGATTACAATATGCTGAAAAAACTCATCGAACTCAATATTACAATATACTGAAGATTACGATGTACTCAGATTAGTGTACTCAAGATTACAGTGCTCATATCACGTGTCAACATTACCGTACTGCACAATGTATTACACTGTACAGAATTGTAATTACAAATCATTAATGTGCATATCATTACAATGTACCTCATGGTTTGGTGTACAGTACTCGTCTGGGTCGCTTACAACTCGTTTTGAACCAGCATGCTCCAGAATATTGCATTACTTCATTGAATCTTCCTTGTCGTGTATGTTCCTTGTTCCTTGTCAGTAGCAGATGCATAGGTGATGGTGAAGAGTAGTGCGTGACAGTCATGACATTTTCTACTGTCATATGGTTTGTCTTTGCAAGGTCATCGGGTTTGTTTGTGACAGTAATAAGGGTTCGAAGCTTAGATCCGTTATGGTTCATGCTGTACATTTGAAGCAATAAAGTCATGTCATATTTCTCTCATATGTCTCGTAATGTTCGAGGCTCGTTCACTGTTGGTTTTCAGGTCTGAAGCTTCGAGCATATTTCACATTTTGTCTCGGAATATAGTCAAAGCCTCGTTCAAAATGCAATTCTATATCTGAACTGTCGACTCAGTTATTTGCTGTAATAAAAAGTTGACTTGCAACATATTCAATTTTTTTTTCAGTATATACGAAGTGTTGATACGAAGTGATGATACAGTTTCATTGTTCACTGAAACCTCAAATTGTTGTCTCTGGGCATGTTTTCCCAGGCTATATTTTAAAACAGGTATACATATAATGTCATCAAAAAGAAGATCCCAGATTTTAAGTGGATACATAAAACAAAATTCATGTATTCTTTTTCGACTATATATATATATATATATATATATATATATATATATATATATATATATATATATATATATATATATATATATATACTACAGGAAAGAAGAAAACACTTAAATCCAAGTGTTTTTCCTTGTGGTTACAGTATATACCTGATCACGCGCAACTACAGTGATTTTATATATATATATATATATATATATATATATATATATATATATATATATATATATATATATATATATATATATATATATATATAATCGAATGTGGGCATTTCTTCCATGCTTCTATATTCATCTTTATTCCATATATCTGTGAAGGTTTAAGTGGTCTCTTAACACCTCTTCTTACACGTGTAGACACTAAGATACTCTAGAGGAAAGTGACAGTATTAGACACACGTCTATGGTCGTTATGTAACTACAAGTATTACATGTTCAAGACACGAATCGAACCACCAACTCAAACAACCCAGGTTATGGTCGAGACGCGCTTCTGTGGCGTCAAATGTTCACTTAACACACCGTATGTACGTTAACCGGATGTACGGTAAGCAGACAATGCCTATAACAGTTATTTAGTCTATGTTTTAAGCACCAGTTCATAACACTTCATAAGACTTCTACAAACAATAACAGCAACAACAACACTATCACTGGGGTCGTAGCCATGATTATAATATATATATATATATATATATATATATATATATATATATATATATATATATATATATATATATATATATATATAGAATTTTGTTTCATTTAAATTTTTATATACGATACTTTCAGTTCTCTCACTGTCTCGAGATAACGGAATTCAAGTTTCACAGTTTCACTCGAGATTTTCCATTAAATTTTACAGGTAAATATATAAGTGTTGGTCACAAACTTATAATATTCACCGTTTTTTCTCATAACAGATGGCATTATTATCCATAACTCCTCACAGTTAAACAAGTAACACTATAGACAAAAACTATATACTGTATATACAGTGCACAAGAGATGACTATGTACAGCTCACCATGTATACTTTTGCCGCATATTGGGGTTTCTTCATATATCACTTCACTTCCAACTCATATACAGTATCTCATTGTTAGTTCACGAAACACCCGTGGCATTAGATATATTTTCTGATATTAACTCGTAAATCGTCGAGACAAACAGACAGATAGATGATTAGGTTCTGATTCACGCCAGACATGGGCTAAGGTGAGTAAGACGTTGTCCAAACTTGGAATATTCAAAACGGTTGAATCTTAGAACTTAGAGAGAGTTTGTAAGAAGGAAGACATCTCAATCGGGTGTGTTTTCAGACCTTTCGAGTATCACTACCGCTTCCCGAAACATCCAGAGGTGTTCAGGAAGATGAAGTGAACACACATGAATGACTATCTCAGATATACAACTAACTAACTAACCGTGTGGCATGTATTGGTTAGGTTAGGTTAGGTTAAGTTGGCTTGGGTTGGCTTAGACCATCGACTTGTGGTGTTGTGTGTTCCTGTACGTAAATATCATGACCTCGTGACCTTGAACCTGGTTGTGGGAGGTCATAGCTGCTGCGGTTTGCTTCACGATAACGAGAACTCAGTCACCTGTATTGACTAAGTGTAACCAATGACGCAGAGGACGACTTATATCTCCCCCGTCAGTGGAGGGAGACAGAAAGAGACAGGTGGTTGACGCCTGTTTAATGAAAAAAAAATAACGTTATTAATGACACACTAATTGAGAGGCAAATAGAGTCCTTTGATCCTCAGGTAAGAGCATAAGGGATATTTTTGGTGGGATATTTGGTCAGCTTGTGGTGTGACGCGAGCTATCCTCATCAAACACGCTCCCAACAGTTTTAAAGAACCTCTACAACATCTAACATCGTTACCAGGAGCAGTAGCGGAGTTCCGGGAGCGATACTCGTGTAGTAGGAGCTTTCAGTTCCCTGCAGTGTTTAATACCAGGATTATAGGACGAGACTGTATTCTGCCCCATTGGTGCTAATTATCTCCTACTGTTTATCCTAGAGAGTTTCTTCCGGTTCTGGATGTCTTATAGACGATGCCGTTGTTTATATTCCTCTCTAGATGTCTTATGTAAGTTGCCGCTGTTGATGTAGCCCTGCAGTAGTCTTGCCCGTTGCCAATTTCCATTTGGTTGCCATACGTTTCCACCGTTGTCATGATTACCATACTTTGCCACTGTTTCCGTAGTTACCAAACGTTATCACCCCTGCCGTGGTTGTCATACGTCGCCATCGTTGCCATGGTTACCGTAGAGGGATCAGTCCAGGAATCAGGTCGGAGAGCGCCATGAACTGGAAAGATAAATGGAGAGAGTCGTCTACAATCCAGAATTAATGTCTTATTTTACGAGAGTAGAGAGATTTCTACGAGACAACGAGACCCTGAGAGACACGTAAATTATTATCTCTCCTCTCGGGTGTGAGAGACGTGTGATAGATTCTCAAAGGACCTTACCTGAAAAATCTTAATGAGACTACAGGTGAGACAAACAGTGACTTCATATATCAACAAACTCACTCCCATTTACGTTGAAATAATAAAATCTTTTATAATTCGAACCAAGAATTCTCAAGCCATCGTTTCTCGTCATCGGGAGAACGTATCTAGTTAGTGTACAGTCTTAGGGCACTATATATACATTTTGTGAGTGAGTCAGTTGCATTTATCCTCACAGCTCAAGAGTTTCTGAGAATCTATGTTGTAGGTTAGGTGAGCTTTTACCACGATCAAAGACATCCTCATATGATTCTCTTTCTTTCTTTTCCTTCTCTTTCTTTCTCCCAGTATCTCCTTCTCTTCTTCTTCCTCCTCCTCTCTCTGTCTCTATCCTTCACTTCTCTTACTTTCTTTCTTCGTCATTGTAATTCACTTTTATTGTCTTCTTTCCCTTCTCCCCTTCTCTTTCTCTCACATTCTCTTTCCTTCGTTTCTCTCCCTTTGCGTCTAACCCTTCCTTCCTTCACTCATTCCCTATAAGTCACTCTTCCTGTCCTCCTTCTCTTCCTCTCACGTTCCCCGTATCTCACTCTTCCTATCTTCCTCTCTCCCAGTCGCCTCTTCTCTCTCTTCCTCTTCCAATGCTCCTAGGGAGGGAGGGAGGGAGGGAGGGAGGGAGAGCAGTGTATTTATCAAGGTAAGCAGACCGGGATAAAAGACTTTACCTGATGATGGATCCACCGCTGACAGGTGGCTGAGGGTCTCTCTCTCTCTCTCTCTCTCTCTCTCTCTCTCTCTCTCTCTCTCTCTTCCTTTACGTGTCCTTTACGTGTGTCTGGATACTCTACTCTCTCTCTATCTCTCTCTCTCTCTCTCCCTTCCTATACGTGTGTCTGGATACTCTACTCTCTCTCTATCTCTCTCTCCTTCCTATACGTGTGTCTGGATACTCTACTCTCTCTCTATCTCTCTCGCTCTCTTCCTTCCTTTACTTGTGTCTGGACACTCTACTCTCTCTGTTAAACCGGGTATCTACCCTACACAGTTAGGTAAACAAAACTCACCTGTACAGTACAGCGCCAAAGGAGGTGAGTTACGGGCGCGGGTCAGTGGAGGGGGGCGGGGCAGTGCTTGGGTCGTCGCCGTGAGAGGCACTTGAGTTACGCTGTTTCTGCTGCTGCTGCTGCTGTTTCTGCTTCTGTTTTCTGCTGCTGCTGCTGCTGCTGCTGCTGCTGCTGCTGCTGCTGCTGTCTCATCTGCTGCCGCTGTTTCCCTATTTCAGGAGTCTTCTTCAGGATTGACTTGAGGGGTTCTGATGGTGCTGAAGTCGATGGTTGTTTGGGGAGTGGGTCACAGTAGGGTTGATGTCCCCTCCACTGTAGGACATAGTGGGTCCCTTGGAGGAGGACTTCGAGGACGATGCGGTTGGCCTCGTTGACGATGATGACGGAGGCGGCGATGGAGCTCCTAGGGGTGGGACAGCTCCCATGGGAGGGGGTAAAATTTCAACAGGTGGTGGAAGGATTTCTACAGGAGGAGGAGGAGCACCTACGTGTAGGGGGATACCTGCGACGTGTGGTGGAGGAGCAGGTCCACCTACAGCTCCTAGACCCTCGGGGCAACACTCCAATCTGGGAAGGTCAGAGAGGGTCAGGTGAAGTTAGGTGAGTATAATGCATATGGTCCATATTATGAGAGAGAGAGAGAGAGAGAGAGAGAGAGAGAGAGAGAGTACCGTCGATCGAAAATTTGTGTGTATGTTTATCTATTTGTGTTTGTGTATGTACAAGTCCGTTTGACGTGTGTGTGTGTGTGTGTGTGTGTGTGTGTGTGTGTGTGTGTGTGTGTGTTTATATATGTGTGTGTGTTGGCACATACGGTGGTGAAATGCAGCTAGTATGGCAGGATTATGTTAGTGTTAAGGCGCAAGTACTCTTGCTGCCTCTCGCTTTCAGCTACCGCCGCTGGCTAGCTCTCGTGGTGAACAGGGAAGCAACTTGTATAAGTCTTCCCCTGCCAGTACACAGCCTCTTCACCATCAAGACTCCTGCTGTGCCTCCTCGTGGCAACACACCGTAGCTGGGTGCCTTGTGGGCCCAGACTAGACCAGCAGGAGATCTCGGAGTCGCAGTGGGCCCCAGAGGAACGGCACATAGGCCCACTGCATGTGGACACGTCCAGGCGCCTACCAACCATTACCCCACTGACTTGTGGATTAACCTTGGTAGGTATAAGACTATGGAAGTAAACATCGAACGAAAAATCTGCGGTGGAGCCCTGCATCAGGCAGACATGCTTACAGAGCTCCAAAAATATTCCAACGGCAGTATAGGTGGAAGAGGTGACCACCATGGGAACGCAACGACTACACCAGCAGACGAAGGCAATGCCTGATGGACAGGCTACTAGGGCGAAACCCAACAAAACTGGGCTATCGGCAGTCCATCGCAACTCACCCTCTCCCCAGCCGTTGCAACACTTGCACCATTGGATCAGGAAAAAGGTGAGCCAGATGTGTGGTTGCAGCCTGTACTCCTGCCTCACCACATAAATCAACTCACGCACAGCCATCATCCAGCTCATCATACCTCACATCATCATCAAAACTCCTATACCCCAAAAGTCCTATGGTGACGGACGAGTGGCGACGGGGACAGGCAGAGATGACTGCCGGGAGTCTCTAGACAGAAATCTGCACATGGGAAGCACAGATAAGATGGTCGTTTTAGCACTGAAATCTAGGTGGCAGCGTAATCCGGTCCTGTCTGTGCGACTGAGCATCCCTTTCGAGGAGCCACTCTGCTCACCCCACATGGGGAGGGAACTAGAAAAAGTACCCTAAACATAGCCTGCCTAAAAACCAACCTGACTGGGCAACTGCACCCAGTAAGGTCATCCTTATGTGGTCAAAAATACAATCATAATCACAGATCCCCCCAAAAACAGAACTATGCAACCTCTTATACTCGCTGCATGAAATGTGAGGACCCTTTTGGCTGGCTAAGTATAACATCGACAGCGCAGCCAACAGTGAGTCCCGGCTCCCAGATGAGGGTCAACTCACAGAACGGAGATCTGGCTATACCATCTTCTGGAAGGGTAATCCTGCTGTGGAGAGAAACCGCAATTACGGAGTTGGCTTTGCCATCCGCCAATGCATCCTACACAGGCTAACTGAAATGCCTATTGGGATCAACGGGCGCCCCATGGCGCTCCGATTCCCACTGAATCACTCACGTCATGCCTTTTTCATCAGTGCATACACCGCAATACTGGATGCAGATGGCATCAAGGAGGCCTTTTACGCCGACCTCAACAGAGTGCTAACCTCGATCCCCAGAGAAAATAAGGTTGTGCTTCTTTTGTGACTTCAATGCCAAAATTAGCAGAGATGCTGACATTTGGCAGGGAACCATAGGAGGAAATGGACAACGCAAGTGCAATCCAAACGGCATACTACTCCTCAGCACGTGTACCGCACACAACCTCACTATCACCACTACCTTGTTTAGACAGACTGACAAGTTCAAAGGTTCGTGGCAACACCCAGGATCCAAACAGCAGCACCTCATTGACTACAGCATTGTCAGAGAAAGAGATTGACGAGATATCCTCATCACCAGAGCCATGTGTGGCTCAGTCCACTGCAACACTAATCATCAGCTTGTCAGAGTCAAGCTCTAACTTCATGTCGCCCCAAAACGGCCAATGCAGCAAGCCTCCAGAAGAGGTTTTAACAGTAAGCGTCTGAAGGATCCAGTGGTAGCACATGCTTTCAGAGCAGCTTGAACATGAGCTGATAAACAACCCGACAACAAACAACCGAAATCCCAGTGGCGAATGGGAAATTCTCGACACTGTCATGACAAAAACCTGTGGAGAGACCCTCGGCCAGATCGAAAGAATACACCAGGACTGGTTTAATGAAAATGTCCTGGCAATCAATGAACTCGTTGATGAAAAATATGCTGCCTTAACTAACTGGCAGAAGAACCCACAGTCTCGGACCAAAGCTGATACCTTCGGCAAGAAGAAAGAGGCGGTCCAGCACTAACTTCGCAATCTAAGAACGACTGGTTAAAATAAAGCTTGTAAACCACAAAACTTTACAGATCAGCACAATATGCCTACATTTTTAATTTCAAGTAAAACATTTAATGGGCTAATCGCTCGTGGTATAGCCCCGCTACACTCATCCGACAGTAACTTCCTGATTAAAGACGATGAAGGCATCCTTCAGTGCTGAAAAGAGCACTACCATTCACTACACAACCGAAACACCAATTTGGAAGTCCTGACTACCCAGCAGGTCCCTCAGCATCCAGAGCTGACCCACCTCAGCTATCCTCCATCCCTGGATGAGGTAGCTACTGCCATCAAACAGATGAAAAATAATAAAGCCTCAGGGCCTGATGGAATCCCAGCCGAGGTGTATAAAGCAGAAGGGCCTCTGCTTACCAGCCGTCTGCACTCTCTCCCGGAGAATTTATGGGAAAAGAAGGAAATCCCCCAAACTCTTAAAGACGTCTCCATCGTCAATATTCATAAGACCAAGGGAGACTGGTCAGACTGTCGCAACTACTGCAGGATCTCGCTGCTATCCGTAGCTGGCAAGATTATCGCCCACCTCCTCAGACACAGCCTTCTTCCTGAGGCGGAAAACTTCCTCCCAGAATCTCAGTGTGGCTTTAGACCATCACGTGGCACCACTGACATGATCTTTGCTGCTCGCCAGATACAGGAGAAGTGCAGATAACAGTGCCGTGACCTGTACATGGCCTTCATCGACCTAACCAAGGCATTTGACTAGGTCAACAGAGAAGCTCTCTGATGGGCCTTCAGTCGTTTTGGCTGCCCATACAAAATTCATCACGATTGTGAGGAAACTCCACGATGGCATGAACGGCAGTGTCCTGCACAACGGCACCAAATCTGAGGTCTTCCCCATCCAAACGGGGGTTAAAGAAGGGTGTGTACTGGCACCAACTCTCTTTTCCATTTTCTTGGCTGCCTTACTTACTCTCATGCCAGTGCCAATTTATCCGGCGGGGTGGACATCGAGTACCGGATGAAGGGTCCTTTCAACATAAGATGATTCCATTACTGAACTTCACTAAACGCGACCTACAGGAGATCCTGAACATCTGCGCAGATGCGTACTCACACTTTGGCCTGCCCCTGGTTCAGACACACCTCCACCATCCATCCAGCTTAAAGGTACTACCCTCTCAAATGTTACCCACTTTCGGTATCTCGGCTCCCACTTGTTCACCACCACCGACATCGATGAAGAGATTCAACATCGGATCAGATGTGCTTCTCAAGCCTTTGGCAGACTCTGAAACCGTGTCTGTAGCTGTAGGGAGCTGAAATTATCTGCAAAGTTTCACATCTATCGAGCAGTGGACCTCCGCATCCTGTTATTTAGCAGTGAGACATGGGTCACATACAGGAGGTACCTCAAGGCACTTTAAAACTTTCACCAATGTAGTCTACATTCCATCCTCCTAGTTCTCTGGGAAGATAAGAGAACAAATGCCAGTATTCTTCCTGACACCAACTATAGGAGCACTGAGGCTATCATTATCCATGAACAACTACGCTGGACTGGCCATATTACCCGCATGGACGACAGTAGACTGCCGAAGTAGCTACTTTACAGTCACCTGACAAATAGTAAACGTAATGCCGGCGGGCAACTGAAAAGGTATAAGGATAGTCTTAAGACAAACCTGAAAGTGCCAAATTGACCCCTACACATGGGAGACGATTACTCCATACCATAACGCTTGGAGGAGCACCACACAAGAAGGTGACAATACTTGTCTGCATAACGAGGCAGACAAGCACCAACGCCGGAATGACGCTGCCGCCGCCCAACCCGCACTAGATGTAGCCCCCTACATGTGCAACATCAGTGAACGACGTTGCCGGTCCCGTATCGGCCTCTTTAGTCATCTCAGTACTCACCAAAGTAGGTGACATCCTTAATAACTCATATCATTTTATCATTGCTGGATGATCGTCATACTCGATTCTGAGTGACATCAAAGTAGTAGTAAGTAGTATGTATGTATGTAGGTCGTGGCGACCTGTGGTGTTGTGTAATGATCAACATGCTCGCCTCCAAGCAAGTGGACCCGGGTTCGATCCCAGGGCAGGGCGAACATCTGGCAAAGTTTCTCTTAGCCATTTGTTTCTGTCTACCCAGCAGTAATTGGGGACCTTTGTGTTAAAGGATTTGCGGATTGTGTTCCGGGGTCATGGTTAGCCAGTGCACTTAGCTAGTTTTCCAGTCTTATCAGACTATTGCTTGACACTGGGTCATGCAGCTCGTTAAGTTAGGGTGTGGTTTTGGTGTTGGCGACAGTTTCTACACCTTAAAAAAAATTCACGCCCAGGTGGCCTTTGTGCCGGCCATCTTCGTACACTAGGGGCAATCATTATTATGTACAGTTGCGGTCAAAAGTAATCCAGACCCGGGTAAGGTAGGAAGGCGCAAGTCAAGGGCCACATAGTAGTGAGGGTATATGTTGATAGGCCTAGAGTCTAAACAACCAACCAACCAGAAGGCCGGGTGTCCAGGGAGGAGTCCTACGGACTTAACTTTCCCTCAGTTATCTGTGCCTTT